CCATAGCCATCTTCATCCCCATCTCCATCATCCCCATCCTCTTCACCATCACTGTCTTCATACCCAACTCCATCATCCCCATCTCCATCATCCTTATCTTCTTCACCATCACCATCTTCATCCTCATCCCCATCATCCCCATCTTCTTCATCATCCCCATCTTCATCCCCATCCCCATCATCCCCATCCTCTTCACCATCACCGCCTTTATCCCCATCCCCATCCCCATCCTCTTCACCATCACTAATTCATACCCAAATCCATCATCCCCATCATCCCCATCCTCTTCACCATCACCATCTTCATACTCATCTCCATCATCCCCAACATCCCCGTCCTCTTCACCATAGCCATCTTCATCCCCATCTCCATCATCCCCATCCTCTTCACCATCACTGTCTTCATACCCAACTCCATCATCCCCATCTCCATCATCCTTATCTTCTTCACCATCACCATCTTCATCCTCATCCCCATCATCCCCATCTTTTCATCATCCCCATCTTCATCCCCGTCTCCATCATCCCCATCCTCTTCACCATCCCCATCTTCATACCCAACTCCATCTTCCCCATCCCCATCATCCTCATCCTCTTCACCATCACCATCTTCATCCCCATCTTCATCCCCATCTCCATCATCCCCATCATCCCCGTCCTCTTCACCATCGCCATCTTCATCCCCATCTCCATCATCCCCACCCTCTTCACCATCACCGTCTTCATACCCAACTCCATCATCCCCATCTCCATCATCCTCATCCTCTTCACCATCACCATCTTCATCCTCATCCCCATCATCCCCATCTCCATTCCCATCCCTATTATGCCCGTCATCTCCACCATCTCCATCCCCATCCCCTCCATCATCCCCATCCTCTTCACCATCCCCATCCTCATCCTCATCCCCATCATCCCCATCTCCATTCCCATCCCTATTATGCCCGTCATCTCCACCATCTCTATCCCCATCACCTCCATCATCCCCATCCTCTTCACCATCCCCATCCTCATCCTCATCCCCATCATCCCCATCTCCATTCCCATCCCTATTATGCCCGTCATCTCCACCATCTCTATCCCCATCACCTCCATCATCCCCATCCTCTTCACCATCACCACCTTTATCCCCATCTCCATCATCCCCACCCTCTTCACCATCGCCGTCTTCATACCCAACTCCATCATCCTCATCCTCTTCACCATCACCATCTTCATCCCCATCTGCATCATCTCCATCCTCTTCTCCATCCTCTTCACCATCACCGTCTTCATACCCAACTCTGTCATCTCCATCCCCATCATCTCCATCCCCACCCCCATGGTGGATATGTGGGGCTGGGACCTCCATCACCCCATCCCTCTGTGCTGCAGGCACCGCATGACGGCGACCGAGTGCCTGGTCCATCCCTGGATCAAGGTGAGAAGGGGGGATTGGGGGGGTCGGGGGGGTGGGTGCCGGACCCCCGGAGGGGGGTGGGGACACGGTGA